ATAAATAATCAATAAAGGGAATACCCATGGCCCCCTAAAATCCTATTCGATACCAACCTGGGGTGTGATGAGAGGAATCGATTGTGAATTCAAAGGAAACAATAGTCCTTAATTTTTTTGCATTTTTAAACCAAGTTCACATCTGTTAAATCGATGATATTTCAGGACGTCACTGAAGCCGTGAACAGGAACGGAAATACTGGAAACAGGAAAAGGAATGCAGCAGGACATTTTTATTTTCTCCATAAATAACCTTGTGATACGTGAAAAATCTAAGCATTGAAGTGATGGTTAAGCATTTTTGCATAGAAGCATTAAGTATTCTCAACCTTAAAATAAATATTTACTGGTCTTTGTTGTTGGTTTGCTTTTATGACGAAAGCGTTGCTTGTTTGTCATGTTCATTCAGAAAACTAGTGCACTTCTTCAACGTCGGACTGTCCCGATAAAAAAAGATAACTTTCAGAAATATCTTTTTTCAATTTTCTGCCCGGTTCCTTCATTTGTTCGTATTATACTAATAACACAAGTTATCAGAGAGAAACGATCGCGATAGCATATTCCTTTTCACTAATCTTTCATTCGCAATTTAATTTCCGGTAGAATGAAAATAATGAATGAAGATAACGTATGATATCTTATTGGAGACACCGTTAGCGCATGTATATAACAATTTTTGATGGACTGAAACATCATTAGTTTTAGTTTGGAGGCAGAAAATCAATTTGCCTATATATCTGCCTTACAACGTCAACTTGTTTCCCTCCAAGTTATTGTAAGTTAGAAAGCGTTGAAATTCGACGTACCTGCGATAGAATGCACTGAAGACCGCTGCCAGCTAATAAACTTGTAACCTCTTAGTACTACAGAAAGATAAAATAATAAAAATTACATTTCAACTGCACTGATCTTAGCGTTTTTTTCAGGTTGACCTAAAATAAGAAACACGGTATACCTTTAGATAACATTCGATACTTTTTTATAATTTCCATTAGGGAAGTCATTCCCAGTTTAGATTCAAACGTGATTCTGGAGACTGCAGCTGATTCAGGGTAGCAAATAAAGGCAAGCAGAACATGAGAGGTGTTGATCACAAAAATATAAGAAATATAAAAGGTCCCTTCCTTATCAAAAATTAAAGAAAAAAATCCACCTAAAAATTTATAATTTACATAGATAACAACCTCATGGTGTAAACAAGAAATAACAAAACCCAAACTAAATAACTATTTTGCTAATTTGAACGCATATTGACAATGATTAATAATAAATGAAATGAAACTTCTGCTGTCTTAGATGGACACCATGACAGTTCTCGATGATGATGACCAAATTTTTATTTTTAGGCTATGATGCAGTACATTATAGCGTATCAAATCTAGATTTAAACATAACAGCAACGAGTAGAACACTGGTCTTCTGAGGTTGTTATTACCTTAAAATCCAGACTTACGGGTTGGAGATTCCATCGCCACTTTACCATGAGAGTTCGCAGTTTGGAACTGAGGAAGGGAAATGAGCGTTTCTTTTATGACGCACATTCAATATGTTTGCATTTGCATTCAATGAATACTAAGATTATCAACTTGCTACAATGATTGAACTCCAAACCCTTTTACTTTTCACCTGTGAAGCGCTTAATTTTTATCTTTTTTCCTCACAGCGTTTCAAAATAAATTTCAATCAATGAGACCAAGTGTTTTCAAATCTGGAGAAGTGTTTGTATATGTAAAAAAGCTGGAATTCGATTGGTTAACAAGCTTTATCTGTTGCCTGTCTAAATACAAACACCAGTTGAAATCGGCTAGTTAAGCCAATCAAAATCGAAGGATAAATTACGATAAGCTGGCTGCCCAGGCTCAAGATGAAAACAAAAAAAGTAGATGAAATCCCTAGTCAGGCTGATGTATTAACTTCTCAACCAATCCTAATGTAGATTATCATTGACTAAGTCTCTCGCATGTTATCATGGCCTGCTGGTTTTCATGATCATGTCATTCATTTCAGTTATTCAGAGACTACAATATGTTATGAACGCAGCGGCAAAAGTGATCACTTACTAGCAAAAACTTGATCATGTCACACCACTACTTATTGAGCTACACTGGCTCCCCGTCCGTTAGCGTATTATTTTTAAGATTTTACTGTACACCTTCAAGGCTCTCCATGGTGTGGCTCCAACGTACTTGACTGAGCTCATCAGCCCTTATGTTCCTAGGCGAGCTCTCAGGTCTGCTGACCAACTTCTACTGGAGCAACCAACACACAAGCTCAAATTGACTGGCCTGAGGGCTTTTTCAGTGTGCGCGCCTTACCTCTGGAACTCGGTTCCATTTGAGATTAGAAGCAAGGCATCTGTCTCTATTTTTAAAGCTAAGCTAAGCTTAAATTTTTACATAATTATAGGTTATGATAATTTGACACTGTAAAGCGCATTTGGGCGTTAGGAAAATGCGCTATAGAAATAAATTATTATTATTAGTATCATTATTATTATTATATTATCATCATTTACTTCATCGCAATTTCTTGTCAGGTACGCGTTACCCACTAGATATCGATGGATTTGAAGTTACTTGCTTGAGAAAGAGCTGAGTTCTGGCTGCAATCATTCCTTTTTCACTTGACGTCAAAAACCTTGTCGTTTAAACAAGCAGAAAAAAAAAGAAGAAAAAGCCTAAAGGCGAATAATTAGCAGATAACATTACCTCCATTTCGCACATCAGGTAGATAACCTGTTTCAAATGTCTTGGGAACACTCTTCCCATCTTAACATCTATCTGCCTAATAATATACATGAAAAAAATTGGCTAAGATATATGCAGTTTTCAGGTAATTCAGTGCAGAAGAGGGTTAATTCAGTGCAAAGAAGTATAACAAACCAGACATTCTGATTGGTCAATAAACAAAGAAACTCACAGATAGCCAATCGAGTGCGAGCCTTAGTTGTCGCAACATTTGGATGCGCTGAAAATTTGCGAGCAAAACAATGGCCGGCATTTCAATTAGGTTTTCTTTCGCCATAACAATACAGCACCTGAGAAACAGCTCTAACAATGAAGACACTGTAAAAAGCATTACTCTTTGGTTGTCGGTTTGGAAAAAGTGGAGTTCAGAGAAGGGAATTGTAAGGAAATCGAAAATTACGAGCCGACCCAGCTTAACACTTAACTCGAGCGATTCTACACCGAAACTAAAAACAAACATGGTTAAACCTTGCAAACAACGATCCCATTTAATTGAAAGTGATTCGGACAGACTGAACAATTCCTTGAACATCATTGTGTATCATTGTTTTGATCGTACGCGGTTGTTTTGACCAAACACTTCACTTTGCACTTGAAGCGCACGCTTTGCTTCTGCATAATTATGATAAGCTATCTTGTATTTTTTCATGTAAATTATTAATACGTAATCACATGATTTTTCTCGTGCAATGTGGAGTACATAAGCACGTGTTAAAGACAACAAAGTTTGTTAGTCTTTGAAAAAATTTATTCGTGCTTATTTATTCCAAATTGCGCTCGAAATCATGTGATTACCTATACAAAATATGTATCAATTTAGTATCTATCTGTCTGGACTTATTAGTGTTAAGAAAGTTCAGATGAAACCCAATATCTAAGGCACTATGCATCCACTCCTCCCCCAGCCCAAAAAAAGACAATTGATGACAAGTAAGAGTTGATATTGGGTCAGGGGAGGGGTAGGTGCACAGTTGTTCAGTTGGTGACGAGATTTCTTTCTCTTTTAGACATCAAATTGGTCATTAATATTAGAAATTATGGTAAAGATTACAGCCTTGATTCTTCCTCGACAGCTTCCTGTTCAGTTGGTAAGAAAGCATTCGATGTTATGATGCTATGACTCGGAGGCGACTGGCGGTTTCTTTTACTCACTATTCTTATAAATGCCGTATTGACCTTGGCGCTCAGGAAAATGTAAAGCCATGGGTTGATGGCGCTGTTGGCGTGACCAAACCAAAAACAAACAAACGTGACATTTGGCTGAAGATTAACCTCAATATTCCATGCTTGCATGACATACATCAGATGGATCACCTGTGGTGGGAGCCAACAAAGGGCAAAAGTGGAGGTAACTATGATGAGCATCCAAACCACTCTCCTCTTTAAAGTTTCCTGTTGCTCTCGATTTTCAGTCGAATGTTCATTTCGAGGTGCAGCATGAAACCATAACTTCCTTGCAGTGATAATATACAGAAATGAAATAACGCTCAAAGGGATCAGATAGTTGAGAATCACAAGGTAGAGGAATAGCCCTCGGATAGCCATATATGGATCACCCAAAATATAAACGGATAACGAGCACACGGAAAGTTTACCTATTTCCTCCACGGTTTGAATAGCTGGAAAAATGGACATCGAAGCCAGCGAAAAGATCCAAATAAACGGTACAGTCAGTTTAGGCTTTCGGAACCAAAGATTGCGGCGGAGGGGATGAACTATGGTACAGTACCTGTCCATTGCTATGATTGTCAGGCAGAGGATGGACGCTGTTAATGTAGCATAGGCAATGTATACTACACCTTTGCACATGACTTCTCCAAATACACCCGGTATCATCCACGATCCGTCTGTATGGATGTGGGCAATCGACCAGGGCATCACAATCAATGCCACCAGCAAATCGGCGATGGCCATGTTGACGAACATGAAGCTTGTTAGTGATCTTACTTCAGGTTTTTTCCACACGATGTAGATGAGGAAACCATTCCCTGCAAATGCTACGAGCATTGTGATGGTGTACAAGACTGTGAGGATGACCCTTTCGTTCTCTTTTAATGTCATGTTCAATTTCTCTTTCGTCTGTTTGTAAGCTTTACTGGAACGAGAAAATATTCGCGAATTATGATTAAGTGGAAACACAGTTTCCGCTGAAACTTTAACAAAGAATGTCGAACGGTTTATGTTTAATAAAAATTAACTTGATCTTAGTTGGATGGACTCTGATAAGCATTGCGTAAATGGGGTTGACGTCATGCAATATAACTTTACTAAGACTGATTCATCTCAGCAGTGGTCGTACATTACAGATACGTTCACTTACAACGCGAGCACAGCTTTTGTTAACTATCTGATAAAAGATACGCGCTTCCGTTGATCTGCTTATTACTCTTTAGTTTAGCTGAATGTTTATAGGATTTTAAAGGTTTTTGCATGGATACAGAAGACAATTTCCTTTCATGTACATGGAAAAATTGTGGAAGACAAATTCTCTACATGTGCTCATCTTTCAATCATTAGAACGTACGAGTAACAATTTTAAGGTGAAGCATCTCTTCAGGAACTGACTCATCACGCTTATGCCTCAGAATGTTAAAGTTTCTTTCATTTGAATAGTTTTTGGAAGTCAATATGAATCGCGTGTCTTCACCAGACGGATTAATTGCAATTGACCCCGATTTAAACACAAGTCAAGTGCATAATACTTAGCCAAAGGCTTCTTTTTATCTTATCATTGAATAGCACGCATAATTATAATTTCATCGGACTACTGACCTCTTATGATCATTAGAAAAGAATACAAGAAAATCGTATGTATGTAACTGTTTCTGCTTTGCTTAACTTTGAGAACGGACTACGCCGTATGAAAAGCGGGGAAACTTAAAACCAGCTAAACGAACGTGTTTCCGCCTAGAAAACTTACGCGTAGCGTTGGAACTCAACACAGACACTTTTTTTTGTTTTTTTTCAGCTCACTCTGGTTGGATTTTTGGCACTTAAGAATGCAACCAAGTCCCTTACTAACTCTAAGATTTAGTTAATCTGTTGCTAACATAAACCATTTACAGAACTTTAAGGAAATTTACTTTAGAAATTACTGTCACGATCAACTTCTCAAATTAATGGCCAGCCTGCTAATCTTAAGCTTGATGAGTCTGCGTCAGGGAACGGCTTGCGAGAGGAGCGGTTTCTTTCTTCGTTTCCAGCAGTCATTATGCATTGTCGAATGCGAATTGCAATCACACATATTTCGACATGCTCTATGTTCGGTAATAAGATCCTTCTGACGGGGCCCAGTTCACTCATCAGACTGAATTGGTTAGAACAGATACTCTGAATCGGGAAAGATGAAATTGAAAGCGAGGAAGTTTCGTCTGTGCCCACACCTCAATCATATGACAGGATGAAAATAACTTTCGTTCTGTGAATCACTGCATTACAAACCAAAATCCAGACACGACTTGATATAGAAATTTTAAGACACCACGCGGGAAGTTTCGGTCTTTTAGGTTTAGCTATGGTCATGCCTCAAATAACATTTGTAAAAAAAAAGGGGAAAAAAACAATTCGGTCGATATGTTTGACCAGTAATAATTGATTAGAATAGCAACATTAAATCATTGTAAGATATCAGTTTACTGCTCGTGGGAACATGCCGAAATGGGTAAAGCAATAATTTAGAAATGTCTTCGACCGACCCTGTACTTGTTTCTTGAACATCACATTTACTTCCATTGTCATTGAGCTTCTCTGTTGGGGTAACCTTTTAAGCCTCTACGCGACTTTGTAAACAGCTGCAAATATAGATAAGCCGAAGGCTGAAAACAACATTGGCATCAATTTGCAACCAGCTCATCATCAACGCAGTCTACTATCAGGTGAATTAAAGGAAGTTGTAATATGACAAGTGAATTGAACTTTAGACTTTATACTAGCTTTGACCAAACACAAACAATCACGTCCACTCTGACTCAATTTGTAATTGCACTCCATAATAAATTTCGTTTGTAAGCAAAGCTTGTTTTTTTTACTATAGCGAGTGACCTGAGTGGAGTCTTCCTTCGATCAGTTGACAAAACGAACTGGTTTGGCTGGTGTGCTCGTTGGTTTGAGAAGTAGAAATGTTAATTCGATGACGAACACACCGGTTCAAAACTGTCACTCTACGCTATTATCAAACCAAATCATCTACTAGCGCCGCTTAAGTAAAACAATGGGAGCAGCAACACAATACAGGGCCAATCTTGAAGCAAAATCTACGGTCGACTCTCGCGCTACGGACACCTCGCCATTGCGACGAGAGCCTCGATGAAACGCATCAAGAAATGTCTGAAATAAACTCCCGTTTCCATTACGGACTCAGGCTGAAATGCGGACACTTTCATGCCACCCAGTGAAACATTTCACTCGTCTTTTCTCTCGCTATTGCGGACAATTAAGTACTTCGTCCAAAATCCTGACTCACATAATGCAAAGCGACATTACGATGAAGGAAAATATTCAAATATATCAAATGTTTAGAGACCAAATAATTTATTTTTCTCTAGTACCCCGCTATTACAGACTCTCACCATCACGGACACAATATCTCCCTCCGAGGTAGAGCGTAATAACGGGAGTCGACTGAGGCTCTTTTGGGTCGGTAGTGGATGAAAGAACGACAGTTTTGCTACTGGCTCGTTTGACTTGGCAGACGATGAAAGAACGAGGAATAATGGATGTATGTGTTTAGAGTTAGGTCTATATATATGGTGGCTCGGTTGACTTAGCAGAGAATTAAAGAACGAGGAATTGTGAATTAATGTGCACTGTCTTAGGTCCATATATATGGCTCGTTTGGCGCATGGTTAGAAGTGGCCCAGTATTCTATTATACATCCAAACAATGTAACAAAAGGAGGAGAGACTTCGCCATAAAGCCCATTCTGATCCGAAGCGAGTCGTATTCTTAAAGATAATCTAAAACTTTGGGGTTATGCGGTAACCTTGCCCAAATGATTCTTACCTTCTCGTCGAATTTAAAGCAAAATTGTAAACAGTGTACTACTAGCTGTTGGCAGCTGTTCATACAACCGACTCCTTAAAGTCAGAACACATCTCGTGGGAATCACGAATGCATGGAATTTGGTGACCGCCATAAAAGGAAACTCGACCGAGCTTCAACCGCGGTCGACCCAGACCATATTTTTCATAAAATATTTTCACTTGCATTCTGAATTGCGTGAAAACCGTCGGAAGGCTGTGCTTTTCTTTTCTTTTTTTTTTTTACTATTTCAGACGCTTAAGTTCGTGTACGGATGTTACTAAAACCAAGAACGGGAAACGAGACTGAAAGAAAAGTGGTTATCTGTAGCGTTGCAGTTGTGTCTTCCGTTGTAGTTATGTCCTTACACCTTATAACCAATGGAATGCAGTTTTACTTCTTTCAATCAAAGTGCGTTGCGATCGTGTCTTCTGCGTGTCACTTTATAACTAGGGGAGGGATGCAATGCAAAAGTGTAAAAAGATCGTTAAGATTTCCGCGCTCGAAGTTTGAGAATTTCATGGGCTATCCTTGATGCCTTTTGGATTGGTGAAAGAGTAAGATTTTGGCGGCGTTTTTAAGTGCGAAGTATTAGGGAAATTTTCTTCCAAACGTTGGAAAGCTTAGGAAGACGAGAATTTGACATTGCCTCTTGGCTTCCCTTACTTTTCTGTCGGAGCTAGCACAATAAGGTAAGGTTTTCGTTGCATTTCATGCTAATATTTTTTTAAAATTTAAATATTACAATCATTCTTCAAAGATCACGTTCAAGTTTTGTGCTAAATTCCTGTGGATTTCATGTAGCTGTATGATACCTGGATTCATTGAATCCTTCTGTGTTGAGGACTGACTTTTTAATTTTGTTTGGGACATGCAACACTAGATATTACACGATTAAAAAACAGGACAGATCTCGGTGTTTCAATGATCAAAAACTTGTGATTTTCTTCCAGCCTCATAATAATTTGAATTATGTTACATCTAGCAATCTCATAGTGTCTACACTGATGGCTATTATGGATGCAGTGGAAGACATGTACTCATTGTAAATGTATGGGGCTACGCAAAAATTCAGCTAGGATGTATTGTCGATGTCAAACTTCACATATCCTGGAAAGTTAACTTAGACACTACTTACACATATGATGAAGATCTGGTCTCTTTTAAAGGATAGGGTGCTGGCTCCTAACGCTCTCCAGCAAGTAACAGTGGGGTTATAACGCGTTAAATAATTCTCTTTGCTCACCCAGAAGGGCACAAATTTGCAGCAAAATTACTCTTCACCTAATAATATGTGCTTTTCTATTTAAATCAGTGGCTGACATATTTTTGGTATGATGGTTTACATTGATTGCTGTGCTTTAAATTCATCATTGAAGTACCAATTAATTCCTTTGCCATCAGTAATGGCTTTAAAATATACTGTGTCAGAAATCACAGCACTGTGCCCCAAAATGTGATGTTGTCCTGGGCACAATTTCATATTTTTGAGCAAGTCAAAGGTAAAAATCAAACAAGACCACACAGACATCATCTACGAGACAACATTACTATGTATATAATGTTTATATAGTTAGTTATGTAAAAGCTACTCTATTCATTAAATCAGTGTCAATACTCTCCCTTGTAGCAGATATCATTTTTAGCTAACTTGGGAAATAGTGGTCTAAAGATCCAAACTTTTAAATTTCCAGGGAAAGGTTCCCCAGACTTTTTCATCAAAGTAGGAATGAATGGCTGCCACACTGTCATTTTGGTCTCTCCCAGCTGCTCAAACGTTTTCCCTCCTTTCCTCAATCTTACCAAAGCCCCCATATGTGTAGTAATAAAAACATTGAAGTGAAGTGTGCAATCTCAGCAGGAGATGATAATCATGCATACTTTTAAGTGAGTCATCCTAGTGGATGTTTGGTGAGGTACTGCATTCTGTGCTCAAAATCTAGTTCACATAGACCTGGGAAAAAAGAATGGGGTGTAATAGTCAGGTTGGTGAATTGCTACAAGCTCTATTTCGATATCACTACTCATTTGGTTATCTATCT